GATGGTTTGTTGGTTGCTGGTTCTATTTTTAAAAAGTGATGACACCTGTTAATTTTTTATATCCTGTGATCAATAAAACAAGAAAAAGTGAAGGAGGAAATCCCGAGAACGGGTCCACGTCACGTTTTTTTTTACGTGGTGAAATATATTTTTCATCAATATTTTTTTAACAATTGTGCTAAAACTGATAATGACATCTCTGCATATGAATTATAAAAAAATAGCCTTAAATGCGAGTTGTGCTGGTGAGTTACCAGTCAAGTCGTCGATATCTAGCTTGGCCGTGCCATTCCTGACCCTTAGCGCTTATTAAAGCAAAATTATATTAATTGTCTGCGCAACCACAACCGCATCGGACACACCACTTGAACTTTTGATCAAGATATCGATATGTCTTTGAAAACACGAAATTTTTGTCCTGACGTTTAAGTGTTTATGGACTATGGAGTAATGAAAGAAATTTGGAGTGCAACCCAGAACTTGTTTCGAAGCAAATTCAGTTATTAAGATCTACAAACTTTTTTCAGCAACGTGTTTATGATTAAAAATATTTGAATTTTTAAAAGGATCTCGAATAATATTAAAGTTGAACACCAGCACTAGGTTACGGCACTTTTATACACAAAATATTTTAAAGTAAACCACATGTTGCAAACTCTGCTGAAAACTCAGTAAAGTTAAATAATTTCATCGCCACGGACGGCCTCATTGGAAGCTTGTTTTTTTAAGGGCCTTGTAAATATTCTGTGCATTCAAATTTAATTTACAGCTTTAGGAAATCTGAAAAAAATATAACTCAGATGAATATGACGTTCGATGAAAACAGAATGAGAATGTTGCTTCTTTAAATGATGAACTGACTCCTGGCTAGAATTCAAAAGTATATTGAAAACGTTAGACAAATAAAATGTTACTGAACTATTGAGAACTGCATTAAATCGTTACGTGTAAATGTATTTAGGAAGCAAAATATGTTCTACGGTAACTGACCGCATGCGTAGCTAGCCCACACTAGCCCACATCTGCCATAGCAGACGACAAACAACTTGCTACGATTACTATTAGTAATTAATAATTATGTAATGCGAGTAACTTCCATGATGGTAACATGTTGGCGTGATTTTCCGAAGGCGAATTTTCGAATCATGCCGTGTTCCTGAGCACGTTCTTTACGCGCTATAAATTGAGCAAAAATTATGAAAATGTAGCTACAAATGCAAATGTGCTGCACCGGCCGCATCTTTTCTAGTATGGATATTTTCTAATGCACATCTGGAAATCATGCGATAACATCATTACACAAAAAAATCTATATTTATATCATATTCCAAATTACTGTAATGGCATACCTCAATTAAAAATTCAAATTGACGGCATTCCACTAGTTTTCATTAGTAGCATGTTTGCTAAGTTTTCAGTATGAGTTGCGATCATTTGATTTTGGTTGAAGCCAAATTGTGGGCACTCTTTTTCTGATGTTGGCACGACAGATGTTACTTTTATGAAGCATACCGAGCATCGGAGCACTTTTGCAAGTGTCAGCAATCAACTGCACTGCTTTAGCGAGAAACTATTTTTGAACACCGGTTTTACAATTATTTTTATAAATATCTTGTAAACACTTGTATAATTGGCTTCATATGTGATTTATTTCGAACACCTAGGTAACTATTAAATGGAAGAAGAAAAAAAAGCGTATCGACGTTTTTATTATTACTTTATTATTTCATTCTGAACATCTGTATGCTGAATTTTCTCTCTTGTCCATTCTATCTCAAAGCATTTGTAAAACTCGGCTCAATTTTTCACATTTTGATTGCTTGTATAAATAAAAAGACAATTAAAAAACTTATTTTAAATGCAAGTACGACGGACGGTAATGCTTGGTTGCCCTGGAAATTGAAAGTTCTCAATTTGGTAGATCCGTTTTCTGCTGTTGGTAACCGTCTGAATAAGGATCGATGAATATTGTTTCACGCAGTGGACAAAAAATGTAAGATATCGAAGAAAAGTGAATTTATCGAGGAATTATCGATTTGATAGACACCAAAGCTGCCGACACACTGCGTATACCGACCTCCCTCATAGATGGGGGTGCAGTGAGGGTAAATAAATAGGGAGCGTGGAGACAAGGAGGAGGTGAGGGAATTTTGGGGGATAGTTGGGAGCGGGAGTAGCTGGGGTCAGGCGCCTGGGTCTGGGGTGGTAGTGGGGGTGTGGCGTAGACGGAGTCACCTCAGGGGGGTGAGAAAGAAGTAGACAAAGAAACGATTGTAGTAGTTTTACAAATTTACGGTTTATTCTGGTACTACGACGTTGGTATTCAGGTGTTTAGCGGCATCTCGAAACTCGACGTACAAAATAAGTTTACCCACAGAATTGTTAATACACGTTAACAGGAGTTAAAATTATTTGCTTGAACATATAAGGTAGAGCGCAACTAAACCAATTGTCATAACATATATTATAAAGAAAGAAAAATGGCCCAAATCGTCTTCACATTAAATGTACCTTGTTAAATTTAGTATATTTTTTCTCGAGATCCGGTAGGTTGGCGAACGTTGTGACCTTGAACTGTATGTTGCACTGCATTACATATTCTACTTCAACCGGAAGATACTCTTAAAGATGGGCAAAAAAATTCTTTAGTAGCACCACAATTATCATGTAAATATCCGTGACAATTTTTTACGAACTTTTGTTCAGGATAATTTATTGGAACAGGGAAATATATGATTTTTGATAAAAAAAAGTTCTTTAAAAATGCCTAGAACGTTTATAAGTAGCCCGGGCAAGGCTTCATCTCTGATAATGATATAAATTAACAACATTTAATACATATTGTTAACTTTCATAAAGAAAAAAAAAACATAACTCAAGTATTATAAGTGGTATCATAATTATTAAAAGCCCAATTTGAAATACAATAATTGATCATTAACGCAAGTCGATAGCTGATGTTCACAAAAGCCTTTTTGTGTGCTGTGCAATCGGTATGCATCTGTAGCCAGTGTAGCGGAAGCAGGCTGCACCACGTGTTTTCGAGCTGAAGAACCTGATTTGAAAACACGTGGATGAAAAACAGGATGTCATGAACGTTTTAGAAGATAAGCTCATTGTTAGCGATAGTAAAATTCAGTACTATAAACAAAATTTATACAGTTAATATCTAGTGTGGGAACTTATAACGAGCCCAAATTCCAATAACAGCAAAATGACAAAATCAGTGGCAATAACACACGGTCTAGTCTCTTTTTATGTACAAACGATGCATGAAACGCTGCTTTGAATATATTTGATCACACAAAGTTGAATTATCTCTCATTTTCAGCCACTAAAAAAAATAGCAAACGTGTACAAGATGAAAACCAATAAATAATGGTTTGAGGGGGTGCATCATTAATAGAAATAATTTACGTTCTAATTTGTTTGCTGTTTTATTTGATCTATAAACGGTCACAGTATCTGTACATTCTCTATACTCCAGTTTTTTTTACGGTTGGGGTTAAGACTTGTGGCGACAAATGCGTCCACCAGCCTGTTCTCTGTCAGAACTATACTCCAGTGTCCAGTCAAATGATTGCACTTGTTTATTTCATCTAGATAGGTATCTTGTTTATTCCATCTAGTAACTGTAATTTTTCGTCGTCCCTTCAGCAAGTTGCATCGGTAACGCCATGGTTAAAAACTTAAATTATATACTAGTTCAACCTGTTTTGTTCGTCTCTTTTATAAACGATCTACCAGAAGTAGTGTCAAGCGTATGCTCCATGTATGCCGATGACACTAAAGTTTATAATACAGTTAAGGATGCGTCAAATAAAATGCAACTGCAAAATGATCTTGATAGTTTAGTTGATTGGGCTGATACGTGGCAGCTGCGTTTTAATGCTGACAAGTGTAAAGTACTTCACCTCGGCAAGAACAATGAACAGCAAGCTTACAGCATGAGAAAACACGGTTGCAACGAGAGGGTTATGATTGAGAAGTCTTGCGTGGAAAAAGATCTTGGAGTTTGTGTCGACAAGGAGCTAAAATTTTATAGGCATATTGAAACGCCAGTTAATACATCCAATAAACTGCTTGGGCTGATCAGACGCTCCTACGAGTACCTAAGGGGTTCGCATACATTTGCGCCAACTCGAAGAGCAATTGAGACGCGGAAGGAGTCGGGATCTAGAAGTGTTCCAAGAGCATCTGAAGGAATAGCGTGAAGCCACAAGCCACTCTCTCTCCTCGCCGCCGCAAGTAGACCGTCCTCGAATTATTCTGTTGGTACGTTTGTTGTACTCTGATCGAGCAGATTCCGAAGCAACAGCAGCAATGAATGTCTATCCATAGCAGCATCTGCTATATTTTCCTCAAAATCGATTTTTTCAGCACCTCGCTTATCTGGATACACGATCAAAAACTACACTTCGTCAAGCTTTCGTACCCGCGTAACGATTTTGATACATTACTCTTTGAGAAGCGACTTTCGTCAGCGGTGTATTTGTCAATCTTTTTTTCAATTCTCAATCACTATTTCAACTAATTTCATCGCTTCAAGAAATTATTCAAACGACCAGACAGTAATAAACACTACCAAATTATCTATGTGGAGTTATCAAGTAGATACGAACTAGAACCAACTGCAGACATGTTATTGCAGCTATACAACGATAATTTAAAGAAACTCGCACGATCTGGCAGGACGTACGTTTGGGAAAACGCGCATAGTTTACGTCGGTCATCCTCGTATCTCAAGGCTGCCCAATTTTGAGCTTTCTGACGCTGTTAAAGTATAAATATCAACTGAAGAAGCTAAAAATAAAAGCATAAAAATGCTAACGCCAAAGTGTGCGAAAAATGCTATCAACGAGAATTTCATGATAATTTCTCGAACGCTAATAACAACAGAGAGCAATTGCCTTATGAAATAAAATTAGATGACGACATTTTCAAGAATTAAACATCAATGAATTGAGTTACGTTTACTCATACTCCGAAATAGAAGCAGGTTATTTCCGTTTACTCTTCTGTTTATTTTTGGGTCCTCCAGGCCGAGGTTTGCTGGCATGTGGCTTAGAAGGATCAGCGTTAAGCACACGAGGTTCCTTGTACTTAATAAAGGCTGGTAAGTTGTCCTTTACAGTGATAAGCAACACTCGGTGCTCTGCTAGGTTCTTCTTGTTTTGTTTATAGCGAGCGTTGAAATAGTGCACGATGTTGCGCAGTCTCGTAACCAGATCGCATTGTGCGGCCAGGAAATCTGTGCGGTCATCAGAGTATAGGTCGATGATGACGTCCAAAGCCTCGGCACTTACAGGAAGATCTTTGTCAGTTGGCAAATAAAAAATATAATAATAATAATAATAATAATAATAATAATAATAATAATAATGACCTGAGAAATATATTATTCGAAATTGCTTGTTTCGTAGCATTACTGGACGACCGAGAAACTGACATTCCTTTTATCGTTACATCAGGCCAGTAGTAGATTCATTGGCATGCTTCAACAGCAGAGATAAAATATGCCTTTAAAAATTGCTTTTTAAAGACAACACTTCTAAAGAATACAGTGTCTCCGAAGTTACATATCTACAATGAATTTCTAATTTTATTTCCATATATTATTAGAAATTAATTTTCAAGTTTTTTTCAATATTAATATCTGAAAAAATTTAAAATTTCAAAATTATTAATTCTGTCAATTGATTCATGCATTGTCTCCGACTTTGCGCAAGTGTGCAAAATTTCAGATCGATTGGACAGGTAGAAGTGTGTTGAATATTGATTATAAGATTTGTAGAAGAAAAAATTATTATTTTTTCCATTTTTTTTAATTAAGAAAAAAAATCAAATTTTAAAATTATATATTCTGTCAATTGATTCATGCATTGTCTCCAACTTTATACAAGTGTGCCAAATTTCAGATCGATTGGACAGGTAGAAGTATGTTAAATATCAATTATAAGATTTGTAGACAAACAAACAAGAAGTGAAGATAAAGAGAAACAAACAAACAAGAAGTGAAGATAAAGAGAAGTGTTGTAACATGCGGATGTACCTTCTCGACTAATGCTCTCATCATACATCGTTGATGGTCAATTCCGAACTAGTCTCGGCATCCAAATGCAGGCTATTGTACTGATTTCTCTACTTTTCCACAATCACAATCAACGATCGGAAATATAAAATGTGCACTTGTCACAAACCTGCAGCAGGAACTCAGTGGCAGTGAGCAGGACACTTTTAGCAGGATCCCTCATGAGGTCCTGGGCGCTGCCCTGAGTCAGGAGGAGGCAGCCCAACACGCCCACCAACCGCGCCAGGTTACGCCGCACTCCCGCCTCACTGCTTGATAGTCCAACGCTGAACAGCACCTGCGTGTGTCAATACAGCATAACATCGAACCTCTAATTCATACTTATACTTGCAAAATCTAGAATCAAGGAAAAGCGTTGCATTATAGGTTGAAATCGCCAAACCTTCACCAATTTATAATGATTAGAATCAATCATTGGTAGAATGGGGATACATAATAAAACGCGGACAAAATATAAACTTCATCTCATACCTGGAAATTTTTTACACATCCACAGGTAGGAACTAAAAACTAAAGGATCGGCAAGTGAGTGCTGGGAAAAAGTTTATCTTTATTCTGAAAAAGTGTTGACTTTTACCTGCAATTCGCTGGCAGTGATGGCCGACAGATGGCTGGCGTGCTCGGGGCTGAATTTGGTAACGACGGCCCGCATGGCTCCAGTCGCGCCCTCCAATATACCGGCCTCAACTGAACATCAATGCAATGCGTGACGACAGATCATGGTGTCAAAAAAGAGATTTTTAAAAATCGAGCTCATTTTTAATTCCCTTATCTAGTTCAAAATTGTATTCAATATTTATTTGATAATGCTGGTATTTATGATAATTTGCTTGTTTAATAATAGGACTAAAAAGGATGGGTTTAAAAAAGTTTCTACTTTTTCACAATGAGAGACGTGTTGGCCGACAGATAGGTAAACAAGGCTGCACTTATTTTATTTATTTTTTTTCGTTTATAATCGCAATCCAATCTAGTATTTTTTTCAGCAAAGAGAATGTACGTCGCTGTCGACTATTAACAAGCATTCAATTAGTATCATGAAGGACATGAAAACAATCACTTGGAGAAACAATCACCTATGAAAACAATCACCTATCACTTATACTTTTAGTGGAGGCGATAACTCCATTAAACAAGGTAATTAAACTACTGTTCAAACTGAGTTACGTGACTTCATGACCAATGGCGATCTTTTACAGCAAACGCCCTCAGCTGCTGTGAAATGATTCTTATGTCAATACTTTATTGGGCGTCAAGTGTAAGTCTTGATGGCAGAAAATCAGTCCAGTATAACATTTCTACTAATGATAGTTGGCAATATTGATAGGATTATACATAAATTATTTGACATCCTTACGACGACCTTTTGTTTGTGGCTTGGGACTTGGATTGATCCACAGAAACTATAAAAGGCAAGAAAACCTGAAAAACCTCAACTTCCCAATATGTAACTGGATTTTTCAGTTCTCAGGTATTACTCACTTTTTTGCTGTTGCTGCTCAGCAAATGCCAGTCTCCCCAGCTCGGTCCAAGTTTCAAAGAGACTGGCTGGGCCTCCGAGCTGATCCATGTCCAGCAATTCCAGAACCGCCTGTAGGGTTGACAGACTTCTGACGCGAACTCCAGTTACTCTGAAAAAAGTGTGAAATTATAGACTTATCAGTAGACAATCTTATAGTAAGTTACTTCAGATTCCAGACTAGTTACTTCAGATTTCCTGATTCTTCAAATCAGGGTCGTAGCATTTGTGGCTGCCAGTTTTACATTTAAAATTATTCAGAAAGCATTGCTAATTTCCGCCAGATGAAAATTGTTATCACATCGAATGCCTTTCAAACGTGTACATCTATATGTTAAACGAAATTCTGCTTCCAATACGCAAACATTGACAACCCAAAACAAAAAATAAGGTAATCACTCACAGCGTTAGCAGCTGCTTCGCATATTTACTGTCTTCCACACTTTGTAGCTCAGGAGGAAGAGGCTGTAGTAGCGCCAAAATTCGTTTGAAAAGCTGATGCTTTTCCAGCAGAGGTTTCACGATTTTTTCCTGAAAAGTATTTCACAGGTGAAAATTAACATTATTTCGATGACGCTATAAACAAAATTTGGATTTGATCAATTAACTTGGAAGTAATCAATCTTGCTCACAAAACCAAAGTATTAGTTTGTTATCAAATCTTAGGTGTCACAACTTCAGATAGAAAATTTGACGCCCCTGATATGCAAATCAAGGTGAGATCTAATAATATGCGTTTAAAAATTACTTTTTCACTTCCAAAGAATCCAGTGTCTCCAATCTTACAAATGTACAATGAATTTCTCATTTAATTCTCAAATTAAAAAATTAGTTTTTAAATTTTTTTTAATATATAAATTTTTTAATATATAATTTTTTATAAATTATTCATTCTATTAATTTATTCATGCATTGCCTCTGACTTCACACAAGTGTGCAAAATTTCAGATCAATCAGACAGGTAAAAGTGTGTCAGATATCAGTTATAAGATTTGTAGCTGACAAAATTATTTTTTCAATTTTTTTTAATATTAAAAAATTTTTTTTTAATTTTTAAAATCTTTTATTTTGACATTTGATTCATGCATTGTCTCCAACTTTACACAAGTGTGCAAAATTTCAGATCTATTGGATAAGTAGAAGTGTATTAAATTTTGATTACAAGATTTGTAGCAGACAGACAGACAGACAGACAGACAAACAAGAAGTGAAGTTAAAGAGAAGTGTTGTAAAAAGAAGCAGCAACGGATACTTGATATTTTATTCAATATTGGAGAAATTGGAGCCTGTGGCTGACTGAAGGCATGATAATAAAGAGCAGTTGTTCGTTAAGGGTATAGTATGCCTAATTACGACCGTGACGAAATATTGCAGAAGTCGTCCCGTGATTGACAGAAATGTGAATATAGTCCAAAAAATATAACTCAGTACTCACTGCAGTGAGTGACAGAGCGCGTTTTCTCGCCGACGAAAACGTGAAGTCACGGACGGACGGACAGACGGACATGGCGAGCACAATAGTGCATTTTTTCCATAAATGAGAAAAATGCGCTAAAAAGCATCAAGCAAAGGAATTTTTTGGAGTAAAGATGTGCCTCACCTCTAAATCTGTTTCCTCGCATGGCTCCCAATCTTTCTCTTGGTCCATGTCTTCTTCAACGTCTTCTTCGAGGGTTGGCCTTCTTTTGTCAACTACTGAAGAATCTTTGTCTGTGAGTACAAAGAAAAGTATAAACGATGTCGGCATAATCCTAATAAGTGAATACATGAAAATATTCTCACGAGACATATTCACTCACTTCCATGAATGGAAAAATATCAGCGAATGCACAAATGCATGAGGTATTATAACCGTAAATAATAACCAATTTTGAATTAATTGTTAAGTTTTCTAGCTCGTAGATTGATGAAAAGTTCGTAAGTGACAATAAAATATTTTTACTGCTTCAATAAATAACCAATTTAGCAAGGTATAACAACCTGAACCACAACATAGGTTGTTGAGTAATTCTAATGCCAGTTGTTGAGCCTCAAGCCAATACTCCACGGCTTTCCAGCCTTTGCTGGACAAGCACCCATTATCTTGCTCGGCGTTTTTCTGTTCAAAATGCAACACAATTTCTTTGTCAGTTGCTTCGTTCTCATCTCCGTCAATCATTTCACTGCCATCAACATTTGTGGTGCCATTAGTATCTGAAGTCTCATGTTTCTCATTCAGTTGTGACGTGTTGGAATCTCCCATAATTGACCACTGGTTCAGGTCATCAGGTGATAGTATGGGACTGTGCGGCTCAGTAGTATTGTTTTCTTGTAGAGGAAGAGGCACAGCAGCCACATGTTGCACGAGGAGCTGGTGAGGGGATACTGAGAGAGCTCTTTCTACAAGGTTTGTTAGCAGCGTCGCAAACTCATCTAACGCTCCGCACGTGTCGAGATTCACCAAGATACCTGAGAAAAAAATAGGTTATAAGCTAGAGGGTTTGAAACTCAAGTAACTAAAATCAGTGATCTATGGCGATGGAAACAAGATTTTTAGCACGAGTATATTATGTTCACATGTTACAGTATACACTTGAGGATCAGATCATTTAGAAGGCATGATTTGCTAGCTTATGACCAAATTACAGGATCCAACTGCTCTTGATAAACTTCAAAATTATCCCTTTCATCGCAAATTCTTACCAGAAACAGTGAGTGCATTGAAGAGTCTGAATGCATTAGTAGCATCAATTTCTTTGGAAAATGATGAGGCATCTTCTTGTCTTATAACCTCCATCAGATGTTCTGTGTAACTTTCCAATTCATCACAAACCTGAAAATCATATTTTTTGTTAGACATTAGTAGGAAAAATGAGAGAAAGTGAATCAAGCAATAGTTTTTAGCAATACAGTATTTTAGTTCAATAACAAAAAAGACTGGGCAGTCAAATATTTTTTGAAGGCCTGTAAGCCAGATACTCGACCTTCACAGTTTGGTTTTATCTTTTTAAATTTGATTTGTATTATGACTTCAGCAGGCACAACTTGAAAAATTATTTGCCACAAACAATATTTGCCAACTAGTGAAATCAACTGCCATATTATAAAATTACAGGCCTACCATTTCAACAGGCAACAATACTTACAGGAGGGTTGTCTTCAGACAGGCACAGAAGTGCAAGGTTGACTGCAAGGCAACACGAGTCGGGAGTTTTGTGGGGCAGAGATTTTGTAAGGGAGGCACTGCTCAGCTGCACCAGGGATTGCAAGACACCAGGGCTCTCACTCACAACTGTTGTTGCTTCGGCACTCGCTTCACTAGTAGTTTTGATAGGTCAATGAACAACAGAAAAACAAAGTAATTTTAAATGAGTAGGTATCAAGTGAAACAATCAGGAAATCATACATAAAGAAAATAGTAGTGCATTTATACCTCCAGTTCTTAACTATTTTCACAGATCAAAGAAGCAAAGGGCCTAAATTCAAATTTTATCTATACCGGTATATACATATTCAGTTACTTACCAAAGGTTGTAGAATATGAATGCAATCTGTTCCAGGATGGAAAATATTTCAGCAACTTCAGATGCCTCATTAATAGTTGGACTCATGAGAGTTTCCAGGTAATTAGGCACCATTTGACAGAGTTTAGAAAGAACATCACTCTGAAGGAGCAGTTCTATGTGGGAAGAACTGCCACATGAACTCAAGTTCCTGAAAAATATTGAAGAACATAGAAAGTAATTTTGAAGGATCATTTAGCCAGAAACATTTGGTTTCTGGTGTAACCCATCAACTTATGAATCAGTTTTTCACTGATAAAATAGCATGATAAATCACAATTGTAATAATGATTACAAGCAACTAATTAATACCTATCACATAAAAATAGTGTAAGAAAAGTGATGAATCAAAGAACAGTTAACAGAGTGGTACACAAAATCATAATATTAATGAAAATGACAGCATATGTGCACAACATAGTCTAGTCTGAACTAAAAAATATGACTAAGTTTGCACAAACCTGAGAGCTCCAACAGCTGCCAAGCGGACATAAAGCTTCTGGTGAGGCAAATACCAAGAGAGTATCCGCAGTAATGCTCCACTTCCTCCCACATCATTGCCAGCAAACTCCAGAATGGTAGTTACAGCATCTAGACCATCCCCAGCAAGTGCTGCCAGAGATTGAAGTCCATGTAGATAGTCACACTCTTCAATGCAGTTCAGCTGAAAAAAAAAGTTCTATCAATTCCCAAATGCTGGGGCTCTACATCTGTTGCCCTATAATGAAAATGAGGAATTACTAGCCCTCCAGTCCACAGAACTGGCTGTAGGCTGTAGCACTACGCTAGTTGGGGTCAAGCAATGTGACTGTGCATTTGCTGGAATCCCACCATGCAGTGGCATGTAATATAACCAATTGAGCCATGACTTTAGCTTTCCTGTCATTCTTTGAGCCAAAAATTCTGCTAGATCAATTACCTCCTATCTAATTGGTAATAAAACAGTACAATTGGTCCAAAAGATTCCAAATGTAATAAAAATTTGTTACTTTGGAGCTGCAAGATTTCTTTGGAAAAACAGAGAGCAAGTAGGAAAATTCTAATCTAGTTTCCATATCATAGAACCTGTCAACCTGGTATGCAATACCGGTATATATCATTAAGGCCACCACAGTACCACTAGAGTTTTCAAATTATTTTTGGAGCAGCAAGATCCCATTAGGGTAAACACACCATATTCCAACACCTTAAGGACCTAGCAAGAAATAAATGGCTATAAATAGATCACCGAATGCGCAACTCCAGTGCTGATTGGTTTACGTCACTCTCAAAACACCACACTATGCGCCAGCAATGATGAAACGTCACAAACTGTTGCCATATTTATTTAAAAGCCTTTGGAATTCAAATCTACAAAATTGCTGAATTCTGACACATGTGTGACTAAATGCAGCATATTGTGAGACTAATTCCAACAGCGCTTCAAAATCACAATTCGTAATTCCGAAACCCTGTGTTGGAATTCTGATACCCTGTGTGAGCTGTATTGGAATATGACACAGCTCGGAACAAGCTGTGTGTGTCTAATTCCGAGCTGTGTCAGAATTAGTTTTTACTTGTCTAAAACCATCTCTTAAATCAATCATCTATTAATTTATTTACCACTTAAAATCAGCAATTACAAGTATACTTAAAGGATTCCTAATATATTCACAGACTTATTTAAAAGTCTCAAACCATAATATTCTTTCTACACCAACAGTTTATCATTATTTGGTAGAGCAAGGTCAACTATCAACTTTCACACATTTTTCGATGTTCTCACTGGGTGACGTGGACCTTCGCTCTGCAGATCTTAACATTTTCCCACCAGACCTAGTGTTCTGTGGAAATATTGCGCACAATAGTATGATGTCACCAGTGTGGAATTCTGTATAGGTAATATATTCTCATGTAAACATGAGAAGATGTAGCAAAAAAACTACCCTACCATGTTACACCACCTTCCACTGCAGTGAAAATTGATAAACTGAGCTCATTAGAAACTGCCGTGCTTCCGAAATCGCGCGTGGTTTGACATCCAATCCTGTGTTGGCAATGCCTCAATCAAGTTAACTATTCGTGTATCTGTAGGGTAGTGGACAAATTTTTGCAATTAATATGTTCTAAAATAAAAAAAAACATCCACATTTGCAAAAAATTCTCAGGATTGGACAATACCAAAAAGGTTTTCAATATCACACAAAATTATGAGATAAACTGTCACTCTTTCACTGCGTACGTTCACATCGTGCTTCTATGTTTACGTATGACAAGATGGTGTCCCACGCTTTTGTTGTGGTTGTGTCAAGTTTGATTTCACAATAAATAGACTTGATCCACATTCCATAATGAGATTTAAATGATTGAAAGTTTTTTTTTAATTATAAAAATCCATTTATATGTTCCAGATTTGAATTTTTTTCCATTTTTTTGCCCTATTATGTTTAATTTATCTTAATAAATTCACTTCAAATTCTGAATGATTTTGTCTGCCATTGCGAGTTTTTGAACATTTTGTGTCTTTTATAAAATGTTTGTTGTTTAAAAGGGGAAACTATTTCATTATATAAAACATAGAGCATGTACCATATAGTGCATTAATAATACAATTTAATTTAATAAAAATTAATTTTTAATTCAAAAATATAATCAGATTTTCAATTCAACATTTTTCTAATAGAATTTAATTCTACAGCATGTACCATCTAGTGTATTAAATGATAAAATTTAATTTAATAAAATTTAATTTTAATTACTTGTTTAATTGAATTTAACTCTACAGCTTCAACCGGTAAAAATGAGCGTCATAGGAATGAAAGTAAAACTGTCATTCATACATCTCAAATTGAGTGACAATGGATGGATTTGATAGGTATTTATTAATCCTGTTTATATATAAGAACGGAAATGATGCTTCTATTTCAGAATGATAATGGAAATGTTCCTACTATTTCAGAAACTTTTCTTGAATACAATTGCGAAAACTAAAGTTCTGTAATCAATGGAGTCCTTGAAATTACAAAATTGTTAAATTTAAAATTTTTAGCTATACGAGTGAGATCATCATTCGTCAATCATCATAGTAGCGGCAAGAAAAATTCGTTGTTTTTGATGTAAAAGAATGTTTTTAAATTAAAAGAAATGCAATACTTGATTTTTGGAAATATGATGCTAAAATTAATGATCCGTATTAGAATTCAATAGATGTTATGCTTTCAGAATTATTTTCAAAAAGTTTGTACCTATTTAGAATTTATAATTCTACAAATTGCATAACGCAATGCACAAATTCAAGACCACCTATGAGTATGAATTTAAGTCTCATTGTTGCCGGGAGGCTTTTGTGGCTTGTGTAGCACAGCCTATCTGTGCTTATTTATCCTTGTTATTTGCCTCCGGCCTTGCTTTTACCTCACCTCAATGTCTTTGTCCTCTTCTGTTTCAGTCTCTGTTACAGAGCGGTCTGACAGTCCTGACCACTCGTGCTTAGCCATGCTGGTTAGTGAATGTTCACCCTTGTATATATATATATGTTTTGTCTGTATTTTAATTAACTTGTGTTTTTGTAAATAAGGCATTGGTTCTTGATTGATTATGATTCTTTGATTCATTACATTAACTATTGCATTTTCTCATGATTCCTATTTTAAACAAATACCTAGTCAACTATACTTAATAGTCTGTCATTGCATTCTCAACCGTGTTTACCTTGCAAACCCTTTTGGTTCTTTGGTTTAACTGAACTTGTTTTGATTCCATTTAATTATGACTATATCCCTTGCTTGCTTTGTTAAGGTTAACTGATAAGTCCCTTGCCTTCACTTTACCCTGCAGTGCTTGATTACTAATTAATCATTTCAATCACAGCTTCTTAAATTATACATCCTTTGCTATTTTATTAATTTCATTTATTTTTACAGCTGGCACGGTAATGTCAAGTCCACATTAACCCGGCCTGTGCTCCTTCCCTTATTAGTGATTTTTGGATTTTATTTTTGCCTACCTCAAATCTTAATTTGTTCATTTGATATTGTTTCCTAATAAAATTTAAAACCTTAAAGCTTTCAAACCTTCAATTTAGACAAGAATTTGCGCTTCCACAAATATTTATTCATTCTCGTTGTCGTGGCCCTTCCGGTTATAAGAGGGGATAAATTGCAACTCGCGGTGCGCTGAGACTCACACGATAACATCATGACTGGAGAAGATTTTAAAATTTATTGAACTATCACGTAAGCGTGATATAAGCTTTTTGTCCTTTTGATGAACAAAGTTTATTTAGGTTCTATTGGGTGTAATGGGTAGAACAATGCGACATATTAGCGGCCAACAATCGGATGGTTATTTCCAACAATCGGTTGATGTTCGGCTCTTGATAATGCTGATTAACGGTGTACAAATATTGCCGTAGGTACATCGTCCAAGAGTTTCGATGCAAAGATTTTTATTTAAAGGATAATAAATTGATTTGCAATTGTTTAATCCCTCATATGGAAATAAATAAACATCATTCGATTTATTTCAACAGAGTTTCATAATAAACCAAGTCAAAGTAACAAAATAATTTGTTTGAATTTTCATTTGTTTGATCAGAAACAACATAATTAATCATTCTCTTGCACTAAATATACGAATGATTAGTCGGACTTGGTTACCGCCCGCAACAGGGTTGGTGATTTTTTTTTATTTTTTTAAAAAATCAGAAAAATAAAAAATCGATGATTTTTTTATTTATTTGATTTTATTTTATTTTTTTTTCAGCTTTTTTGTCTTTTTGGAGCATTATTTTTTATGTTGCAATTAGCCTACTAACAATAACAGCATATGGATCATAATGGATGGCTAAAAAGGGCACTTATTGCACTCAATAATGGCCAACAGGCCAAGGTGGTGTTTACCACTTTGGGATTTTTGGGTAAACAATTATTGATAAGTCTATTCATTAGCTTTGTAAAGTTTGTATGGAGCAAGATAATGAGCTAAATATTGACCATTTAACTGGCTTCAATATATAAAAACACTTCAGGAATGCAGATCCTCTAAACATTGAAGAGTCACACAACAGATAGGTAGCTGATAGGTACCACTCTACCCTCTATACACACCAACTAGTAGTGACTGTAGCTGATAGCACAGTGCACAGCACTATCAATAGATCTACTAGTTTTATGTCCTATAAATCTACCAGACTCTACCCTCTATACACACCGACTAGTAGTGACTGTAGCTGATAGCACAGTGCACAGCACTATCAATAGATCTACTAGTTTTATGTCCTATAAATCTACCAGACTCTACCCTCTATACACACCAACTAGTAGTGACTGTAGCTGATAGCACAGTGCACAGCACTATCAATAGATCTACTAGTTTTATGTCCTATAAATCTACCAGACTCTACCCTCTATACACACTGACTAGTAGTGAGTGAGTGAGTGACTGCACTGTTCCCATTTAATTCAGACCAATAAACCAATACTAAACATAAACTGAACGATAACCAAACAAACCTCATACGACTTGAAACAAGACTCAAGTTATGAGAAAATCTAACACTGTTTGAAATAAACATGTGCACAATTCAAATATTTTATATCCATTCGCTGCATTTAATTATTTTATATATAGTCTTTTAATTGTAATTGTTTTGTTTCTAGTTTTAAATTCGCATATTTAAAGATT